TCAGATAGGAGCAGACAAAATTGAGCCAACCTCGGCCCTCATATGTGAGATCCTGCTTGTAAATCTTTTGGCGTAGGTCAATCTAGGAGGGTGTCCCCTTTGCTATGACAGATGCAATCCAGGCGCACTCTTTTTCCTTTTTGGTGACTTTGGCATCATACTCAGCCGTGCCTGGTGACTAATCCTCAAAGTATAGGTCATTAATGGTGGCATCATCACAGATTACTTGGACCCCTCAAACTTGGACATATTGCAAAAATATCCCGTTCCTCTTTTGATCAGCATTCCTTGAGGCACCATAAGAAGCATAGAACTCCAGAACAAGTGTCTCATTATACTCATCAGGGATTTAGTGAAGAACTCCCATTGCCTCTTCTTAATGTTCTCGATCACGTGAGGGCAGTGCTCCTTCAAATTGTTTAGTCTCAACTGCTTCTTCTCAAGAATCTTTCTCTTCGTTATCCCTTCTTTGTATAGGTTCCATGAGCCTGTGACCCCAAATCTTAGATCTTCCCCATTCTTCCGTCGTGATTCAGCTGTAGGTCAATGGATGGCATGAGTTCAATCTATGTCTCCTCCTCTTCAGACTGGGAGGAGTGCTTAGAAGTGCTGCGGTTTGTCGTAGGCTATAGATGTTTGGACTGTTGTGCCTGTTGTCTTAGAGCAACAACATGTTTCCTCCCATAAGCGGGCGATGATCGCGTTGAAAGAGACTTCTTTGGTGCCATTCCTGTTAGTGAAATAGTGTGTGAGTGGGTGAAATAGCATAGAAATCACATTGAGAAAAAATAAATGAAGCAAGCAGCTTTTGCGATGGGTTATATGATCGCATAACAACTATGCGAACCGCAAACCCGTCACAGATTTACAACACCCAGAAGGCAAAACAATTATGCAATCGCAAAAAGGCCTGCAGACTATGTTATGCGATTGCAAAGTGGCCACATTTCCATTCACTAGATGAGCAATGTTTCTAACCCTGTTTGCGACACTTATGCGGTCCGCGAAACTGGTTTGTGATTGCAAACCCCATCGCAGAACCATTTTTCATCAGGCCACCTAGGGTTCCACTTGCGACGACTTTGCGGACCGCAAAGATCATCTTCTTCAGTTAAAATGGTCAAACCCCTCAAACACAGAACTCCTATCACTCGAATGTAAAAGTTTACCCATGAATTTCCCACCCAGGTCCCCACAACAAAGGTTTGAGAGGAAGGGGGAGGAAAAGAGTTCAAGCATTTGATATTATGCAACACAACCATGAGAAAGAGGGAAGAGAATCACATACCAGATGTCTGAGCGAGATAATGTGAACAAAGTGAATCTCTCCGCAATGCTTATCCTTGTTATGTTCTTTTGATTGTGATTCAATGTTGTTTTTGCTTTTTCTCCTAATTCTCTTTGTTTTTTTCTTTGTATTTTTGTTTTTGTGTGTTGTATAGTATCGTGTGTGAGTGAGAGTGAAGGTATGCGAAGGAGTTAGGGTGTTATACCTGAGAATTTTTGCGGTGAGCAAGTGGATCGCATAACACATTATGCAGTCGCATATGTGTTATGCGATGGAGTAAGGACTGGGTTGCCCAAACTCTATTCTGCGACAATTTATGCGGTCACATAGTTGTTATGCGAGCCGCAGAACCTGAAACCTTACCGCATTTTTGCAGACCCATCTTTCCATTTTTTCTAACTGTGTCTGCGATGACTATGCAGTTCGCAAAGTCATTATGCAACCGCATAGTTGCCGCAAACCACAAACCCTTCTTTCCTTCATTTACCTCAGTGCGTGCACCCTGTTTATGGTATTTTGGACTACCTGCATTCTAACACACATGTCAACCTACTCAACACTTTCAACTAAACCTACATATATGAAAAACTAACAATATAGTGTTACCACACATGGGTTGCCTACCAAGAAGTGCTTGATTTAACGTCGCGGTATGACGATGTTGACCCCATTTGGGCTATTCAGTGGTGGGGGCTGGTGTTGGACTATCCTTTAGAGCAAATTGTTCTATAAAATGCCTTTCTCCTATGGTACCAAGGTAATTCTTGACTCATTTTCCATTCACCTTGAAAGTTTGAGTTCCATCCTCCAACTCCAATTCAATAGCACCATAGGGGGACACACTTACAACTTTGAATGAGCCAGACCATTTGGATTTGAGTTTGCTTGGAAATAATTTGAATCTTGAGTTAAAGAGTAAGACCAAGTCTCCAAATTTGAATTCCCACTTCAAAATATTCTTGTCATGAACAATTTCATTCTCTCCTTATACATGGCTGCACTCTCATAGGCATGAAGACGAAATTCTTCCATCTCCTTGAGTTGTGTCATTCTTAGGTTAGCAGCTTCGGCCCAATCGAGATTCAACTTTTTCAATGCCCACATGGCTTTGTGTTCAAGCTCCACTAGCAAGTGACACGCCTTACCAAAAGCCAACCGGTATGGTGAGGTGCCAATGGGAGTCTTAATTGCCATGCGATGTGCCTACAACACATCATCTAGCTTCCTTGACCAGTCAGTCCTATTTGCATTGACAATTTTGCTAGGATGTTTTTGGTCTCCCTGTTGGAGACTTCCACCTGACCACTCGATTGAGAATGATAAGGTGTGGCCACCTTGTGCTTTACGCCATACTTTTCGAGCAACCCGGTGAAAGCCTTGTTGCAAAAGTGAGAACCACCATCACTAAGGATGGCCTTGGGGGTATCAAACCGCGTAAATAAGTTCTTCTTCAAGAATGCAGTCACACTCCTTGATTCATTGTTAGTAAATGCAATTGCCTCGACCCATTTGGGGACGTAGTCCATAACCACCAAGATATATGTCATTCCATAAGAGCTCACGAAGGGGCCCATGAAGTCTATCCCCCACACATCAAAGATCTTGACCTCCATTACAAAATTCATAGGCATATCATGTCTTTTAGATATTGACCCTTGTCTTTGACATTGATCGTATGCTTTGACCATTTAATTTGCGTCTTGGTAGATCGATGGCCAATAGTAGCCACATTCAAGCACTTTTTCTGCCATCTGGTTTCTTCTATGATGACCCCCAACCGGGAGCCATAGCATGCCTTGAGAATTGGCATTACCTCATCTTTCGGAACATATTGCCGAATGATGTTGTCGGCACAAATACGGAGCAAAAAGCGTTCCTCCCAATAGTATTTCCTACACTCTCGCAAGAAATTTTTCTTTTGATAAGCTTCCAATCCATCGGGAACCAGGTCACTAACCAAAAATTTAGTGATGTCGGCATACCAAGGAACGAATGTGCTAGACAACGCCAATATGTTCTCATCCGGAAATGCATCATTGATTTCAATGTCTTCTTTTGGTCTCCCTGCCTCTTCAAGCCTAGATAGGTGATCTGCAACTTGATTTTCTGTCCATTTCCGGTCCTTCACTTCAAAGTCAAACTCTTGCGACAAAAGGACCCACCAAATCTATGTTGGTTTGGTATCCTTCTTCACCATAAGATAGCGAAGAGCAACATGATCGGTGTAAACTATAACTTTGGACCCCAACAAATAGGCCCAAAATTTTTCAAAAGCATAGACAATGGCAAGAAGTTCTTGCTCAGTCACAGTGTAATTCATTTGAGCGCCATTGAGTGTCTTGCTTTCATAGTAGACAGGGTGAAGTATTTTGTTATGCCGTTGACCAAGCACCACCCCAGTAGCTACACCATTAGAGTCACACACGAGTTCAAATGGAATGGACCAATCAGATATGATAATAATAAGTGTCGTGGTGAGCTTTTCTTTCAATTCCTCAAAAACTTTGAGACACTTCTCATCAAATATAAACTTTGTATCTTTGTCAAGGAGCTTGCACATGGGATTTGTAATTTTTGAGAAGTCCTTGATAAAACGCCTATAGAAGCCGGCGTGCCCCAAAAAGCTTTGGACACCTTTTACTGAAGTGGGTGGAGGAAGTTTGGAAATGATTTCGATCTTTGTCCGGTCAACCTCTATGCCTTGTTTGGAAATTTTGTGGCCCAAAATAATGCCCTCGTCCACCATGAAGTGGCGTTTTCCCAAGTTTAGCACAAGGTTTGTTTCTTCACATCTTTTGAGCACTTGTCTAAGGTTGTCAAGACAATGCTCAAAGGAATCATCCACTATAGAGAAATCATCCACGAACACCTCTAAGAAATCTTCCACCATGTCCGAGAAAATTGACATCATGCACCGTTGGAAAGTAGCCGGGGTGTTGCATAGCCTAAATTGCATACAGATAAAGGCAAAAGTCCCATATGGGCATGTGAATGTTGTCTTCTCTTGATCTTCCAAGGCGATGTTGATTTGGTTATAGCCGAAATATCCATCCAAGAAGCAATAGAATGACCTTCTCGCTAGTCGATCAAGCATTTGATCATTAAAAGGCATAGGGAAATGGTCCTTGTAAGTAGCACTGTTTAGCTTATGGTAGTCCATGCAAACTCTCCACACGGTCACTGTTCTCATTGGGATGAGCTCATTTTTGTTGTTTTGAATCACGGTCATGCCTCACTTTCTTTGGCACACATTGCACCGGACTCACCCAAGAACTATCGGCAATGGGGTAGACCACCCCGGCATCTAACCATTTGATGATTTCTTTATTTACCACCTCTTGCATGGAAGGGTTTAACCTTCTTTGATGCTCCATGCTTGGTTTGATCTCTTGCTCCAATTGTATATTGTGCTCACAAATTCCGGCAGGAATCCCTCGGATGTCCTCTATTGTCCATCCAATGGCTTGCCTGTGCTTCCGCTAGACATTCAACAGTTGTTCTACTTGCACATCATTCAACAAAGAAGAAATGATTATTGGTAGAGTGTCATTAGAGACAAGAAATTTATACCTCAAGTGCGGTGGAAGTGGCTTGTGCTCAAGTTGTGGCGGCTCAATAATTGAAGGCTTGGCGGGAGGAGTAACTTTATTCTCTAAGTCAAGAGAAAGTTTCTTTGGTGCAAAAGTGTAGGACCCAAGTCCTTCTAATGCATTCATTGATTCCATGTACCCATCCATATATCTTCACCATCAAAATTTACTAAAATAGCCGCCAACGCCTTACCAAGACATTGTTCTTCCATCTTCATCTTGATTGCGTCTTCTACCTCATCAATAACATCAATGACTGAGATGCTTTCATATGCATGTGGCAACTTCATACCCTTACTCGCTTGAAAGGTAACCTCTTCGTCATTAACTCGGAACTTGATCTCATTTTGTTCCGAATCCATAAGTACTCTTCCGATAGCAAGAAATGGTCTCCCCAAAATGATAGGGATTTCTTTGTCAACAGCACAATCAAGGATCACAAAGTCGGCGGGGAGGAGGAACTTTCCCACTTTCATAAGAACATCATCAACAATCCCCCACCGGTCTCTTTATTGAACGATCGGCCATTTGCACCCTCATACTTGTAGGCCTCGACATACCTAACCCCGCTTGCTTGTAAATAGCAAGAGGCATTAAATTGATGCTATCCCCATTATCACAAAGAGCTCTTGTAAAAGTGTGCACCCCAATAGTGCATGGAATGGTAAAAGCTCTCGGGTCTTCTATCTTTTGAATGGTGGTTGTTGCAATGATGGAACTAACCCTGTGAGTCATATTCACCACTTCACTCTTAGTTGTATTCTTTTTGGTGATCAAGTCTTTCAAATACTTAGCAAAACCCGACATCTCTTGAAATATTTCCACAAATGGAATATTCACCGATAATTGCTTGAGAATGTCATAGAACTTCTCGAGTTTGATATCATCAACCTTCCTAGCAAGTATTTGAGGAAATTGAGGAGGAGGTCTTGGAATTAGTGCTAGAGGTTTTGGTGTCTCTTTCACCTTTTCCTTAACCTCTTCCCCATTCACTTGTAGAATTTTCACCTCTTCTGGGACTTTTTCAGCTTCAACAACAACAAGCACATCAACTTGTGCCTTAACTTCTTGTTCGGAATCTTCCACTTCGACCACTTTTTCATTCTCTCCTTGAAGTATTTTCCCATTCCAAGTTGTGATTTCCATACAATGAGAAACTGGACTACCCTCACTACCTTTTGGGTTTGCAATTGTGTCACTTGGGAGTGTGCCTTTTGCTTCGGATTTTTCTCTCTTGAGAGAACTCTCATTTTCATCTCCAAATTTTGAATAGATGCGGTATGAGAACCGACAAGCTCGGTCATATTCCTCATTGAAGTGTCAGATCTTTCTTGATTTTGCAATACTCGTTCAATCATGTTTTCCAATTTGGAATCACTTGAATAACCTTCCTTCCAATGCAGAGAGTTGGAATATTGCCCCTTTGGTGGAACATAGGGTTTTGAACTCCGATTTGAAGAGTTATTGTTGTTCTTATTCCAATTCCCTTGATTTGAACTACCTTGGGCATTTCGCCACTGTTGATTGCCTTTCCTTTGCGGGTTAGGGCTCCATTGGTTTTGTTATCCTGAACCTTGGTATGGTTGCCTTTGATATCCTCCTTGAGAGTTGTTGACATAATTTTCTTCCTTTTAATCCTCATTAGATATGGGTTGAACATCTTCCACGACATTCACTTTTTTTGTTTGGCTTTCAGTGAACATTTTCATCAACACATTGACGTTGGTGGCAAGCTCGGCAATTACTTTATTTCTTTCTTCGTTCTCCTTAATCATGTTGGTCAAAGAGGGAGTACCATATGCAATTCCACCCTTGGTGTCCTCTGAGTACCAAGATTGGTTATGTTTTGCCATTTTGTCAAGTATTTGTGTGATCCTCACAAATGTTTTATCCATAAAAGATCCATCAGCTGCATTTTTGGCTATACATTGATTCATAGGATCCAAGCCCATATACAATTTCTCCAACAAGATAGATTCCGTAAAACCATGATTTGGCGACCTCACTAAATATAGCTTGAATCGATCCCATGCCTCATGTAGATGTTCTCCCTGTAATTGCTTGAAAAAGAAAATTTTATCCCGGAGCTCAGACTTCTTGCTTTGTGGGAACCATTTAGCTAGGAAAGCTCGGACGAATTCAGGTCAAGAATGAATGGAATTTGGTGGTAGATTTTGGATCCATTTCCTTGCCTCTCCAGCCAGTGAGTACGTGAACACCCTCAGTCTTAGGGCATCATCTGAAATGTTGTTCTGCTTGTGCATCGCACACACACCCAAGAAGTTTCTGAGATATTGTATCAGATCAGCATCGGTGGAATTTCTAAAAAAATCCCTCTGCTTTGAGCATTAGGATTAAACCGTGTTTCACCTTGAAAGTGGTAGCATCAACTCTTGGAGGTACAATAGCATTTGTATCCTCAATGTACTCATTTATATCCGCAAAAGAATTCTCTTATTCGTCATACTCGACCATATTTTCCTATTAACACCAAGAAAAGCAAGCAAAGTGTGATGGAATAGAAGAAGACGTAAAGTAAAGCAAACACTAATTAGTAATTTCAAAACCGTATTCCCTAGCAACGGCGCCAAAATTTGATACGCTCAAGTTACACTTAAATAAATAGTGTAAGGCGGTCGGTGTCAAATCCCACAGGGAATATGTGTGAAAAGATTACTTGAATAGTGTGAAACTTGACTTAAGTCATAATTCTACTCTTTTAGCTTAACAAGAGAATGATATAATTGTGATTTAACAAGATAACTATTTTATTATGAGAATGTAATAAATTTGATTAAGGAAACCAAGGTTGTGTCCCCATCAATGAAATGTAATGCTATCAGTGTTAATATGATATATTTCTAATGGAAGGTCCTTTGATATGCAAATGGTTTCTAAATGACTACCCAATATTTTCCAATGGTTGGGTAGTACTTTCTCTTTATGATTTTCCCAAATATAAAAGAGTTGAAATTAAGAATAAGTAATTTATGCCAAGTAGAATCCACTTATTCTTAAGCGATTCTATTAAACAAGGGTTAAAGCATTGAGTTCTTGATATTCACTTCTACCAGACCCTAACCCACCTTTTCCAAGTAAAGATAGAGTAAAATGGAATAAGTCAACATATGCAACCACCAACAATAAATAAAGCATAAGAAATGAATAAATATCAACCAACCATTATATATANAGTATTTAAAACTAGCTACTCATACTAGAATACAAGAACAAAGCAACAAATAAAGTCATAAATCTTACAAAAGTGCAAGATTCTCTCTTCAAAAGCTTCCAAAATAATGGTGTATTCAATGCCTTCAATGTAGTCCCTTTTTCAGAATCAATGACCCATAAAAACCCTAGTAAATCTATTTATACTGGACTAAAAGTTGGGGTCAAGATTGGACAAAAATGCCCCTGCAGAGCCCTTCTGCGATCGCATAATGGTCGCAGACCATGTATGCGGTCCGCATAGTTGACAATTGCATCGCAAATTTTAGGTCTTCAAGCCCAGATTCCACCGCATTTCCCTTATGCGGTCCGAATATCAGTTATGCGACCACATTTTCCATCGCAGAAGTGCTACACAGGTTCTTCAATTTCAGTTGTACGGTCATTATGCGGTTCGCAGAAGTGTTATGCGACCGCATAATAGACCACACATTCTTCTCTTTCAGTTGGTCAAAACAACTGCTTCAGTTTACGGTGATTATGCGATCTGCATATTACTTCTGCGGTCGCATACTTGCAGCATTCCTACTCTTTTGTGGCTTTTTGACTTCTTTCCATGTCTTTGGGTCTTCAAGTCTCATGCACTACAAAACACCAAAACTTTATAAGAATTAACTACAAATGCATTGAAAGACAAGCTAAAATCTATGTAATTGGTATCAAAAGTCCCAAAATTCTACGGCACATCAGGAATGCCCTGGCCTTTGGATTTATTCACAGAATAGTTGCCTATATGGCAAAGAGAGTACTAAAGTATTCGCAAGAGCTATAGGTTACGAGAATAATAAGTCCATCAGTCAACATTCGAGGACAAATGTTCCAAAGGGAGGAATGATGTTACACCCCATATTTTTGTACGAAAAAGTACACCGTAAGTCAATTGATGTAAGCTCGGAAATGAGATTCTCTTTAAAAGTATATAAAGTGATCTAATGATAGTACATTCATATTTCCGTTCAACATACAAACGACTAGGTTAAGGACGAATATACTTAAACGCGAGAAAGGAGATTTTGGACAAATAAAAATGAGCTGCTTGCCTACCTGACGTGCCTGACTCACCAACTTGCTTGAGCTACTCGACAAATGTCTAAATTATTTAATGAGGACGAGACTCATGTTTCAAAATGAAAAAAGAACCAACATGAATCACCTACTTGATTAAGTAGGTGACAAGTAGGTGCATCACCTGCTTAGAGCTTGTGGATCAAATTAAAAGGGAATGGAAAAGGATAGAGATGGACAAGTCTTGGGGAAGCCCAACACCCATCTGCCCAAGCCTATTAGTGGGGCCATATAAACATAGATATATCTCAATTTCACTTAGAAACACAATTCATCATCCCTCTAACTCTATTGCAATGTGAAGGAGCTCCAAAATATCATCCCAAGATCTCTCTTAAAGTTATCTTAGGGTTCAAGACCAAATCCACAAGTTGGTAAGGTGATTTTCTCCATTAGAAGATCAAGATCACCTAGTTATCTCTCTCTACTTTGTTGTTTGGGGTAAAGAGCTTGTTTGAGCTTGAAGTAAAGCTTAGTTGGACAAGTATTCTTGCTTCCAAAGTAAGCTTTAACTTCTTATATATGTATTTAGGATCATCTATGTATATCTAGTTGATTTGTTAAAGAAAACTTGTGAAATAGGTTGAACTTCATGTTGAAGTGTTGTAGTTGCTGGACTATTTGGAGTTGAATTCTTGATGTTTTATGGCTGAAAATCAGTAGAAATAACTTAAGAATACTATTGCTATTGTGGTTGATGTGTTTGGAAGAAGAGAAGGCTTGAAAAGTGCAAGTTAGAACTTGGTTGTTGGGTGAAATGGTGTGGACTGTTTTGGTGATGTCTTTTTACAAATATGAGGGGAGGTGCTGTCCAAAATTTCGTAAACAAGCTAGTCGCACATTTGTGTTGAGTTCTAATTTCCGTAAGCTTAACAACAGTCCCTTCTTGTTTGTTGTAGATTGAAGTACTAACAGGCTGAACCACTGTCGTGTGGTTAGGTAAATGACAAAGGTATGTTAAGGCTATCCCTTTTTTCCTTTTGGCATGATCCATACGATACAAACGAAACGAGCAAACACACAACTTTCATAAATGACTCTATTCATAAAAGCACTAGGGGTGCCTATTTTCTTGATTCCCCATGTATCCTATTATTATATCATCTATTCATGGGTCTAAAAAAATATGTAAGTTGATAAAGTTTATCCGAAGGCATATTGATCTTATGACATTTCGAGAGATCTTATTGACTTATTCTTTATTGCATTCATTTATACATGTACATTGACCCATCACCAGATGTTATTATATCCACATATATTATATGTATATGGGGTAAACGACATGGTTTTCCAAGAATTATGTTTTAGCCCATGTCCCCGTCTACTACTTCAAATAAGGTAGTCTTTATGCCTATTCGACGTTCGTGGGTTGTAACGACCCGGCCGGTCATTTTGCGAGTATAAGACCTGATCCTCTATTTATTGCTCCCTCTATTTCATTTTACATTTACTTGACTTGCCAGGGTGTATGGTGTCGGGTTCGGGAGAGTTTCAGAGTGGAATGGGACACATAGTCCCTAAGTGTGAAGTTTGAGTTGTAAGAATTGACCGTAGTTTGACCTATGTAAATACGACTCCGAAATGGAGTTTTTTCGGTTTCAATAGATCCATATGTTGACGTTGGTCTTAGGATCGTGTCCGGAGATTGATTTGGAGCTCCGTAGGTTATTCCGGTGTTAATTGGGGAACGTCGGAAATTGGTGGAATTTTGGAAAGTTTGACTGGGAGTAGATTTTTTGATATCAAGGCCGGATTCCAATTCTTGAAGTTGGAGTAGGTCCATAATGTCAAATGTTACTTGTTTGAAAAATTTGGGTTCAATCGGACATTATTTGATAGGTTTCGAC